GCCATAGATAGGCCTAAATAATATGTTTTTAATTGTGTACCAGTTTAACGTTGAATATTATTTATGATTTTATCTTTCCATTACATGTGACTGAGATACTGACATGCTGATTTTTGATTATAAATAGAATATTGTGCATAATATACATAGAAATTCTTCATATATTCAACCTCTGATTTATGTATTGATCTTCTATCAGAGTAACAAATGTTTACTCACATTAGGAAACAAAACCTCAAATATAACTTGGCAGAAACAGAAATTTAAGCAGAATAAGACAAACATTTGAAATGAAAGGTTGTACATGTTTTGTTTTGTTTTTAATAAAAACTGCAATGGCCAACTTTCCTCCTAAATTAAACTTAGCTATGTGGAATAGCAACTGAAACATCTTCAACCTAGTTGAACTGACAATGAATAATATACTGACTGAAGCTGTGGCTCATCATCATAATATGGACTTTATTGTCAGATTTGAGTTACCATACTGCTTGTTAGTATTTTTAGTTAAGAATGATATAGTTTAAAATATCTGAGAGAATTACTGGCAACATGGGAAAGAGAGAGGATGTTATGTGTGGGCGTAGTAAGTGGGTTTGACTTTCTAGTTTATATCTCCATAAACAAATAAGATTGAAGGCTACAAGAATTATACTTTGCTCAAGTAATATCTACATTATAATAGAGTAATTTACATTATATTCCATACTTCTCAAAGAGGTGATAAGTAAATTAGAGAGGGGAGAAGACCTAGAGAACAAATGTCAATTCTCATTTTAGGGGAGATTGTACAATTTTTAAATATTTCCTTCTAAAATTGGGAACATAAAATCTATATAATATTAAAATTTGGTATACTAACTACATTTTGATGCTAAGTTACTGATAGCAAAGTAGTTTAATTAAATTTTAAATGTAACTCCGTAAAAGCTCATGACATGTGCACTTTGACCTACCATTGTAATAGGGTTAAAATGGTTACATATTCCATTTAAATGGGTATATCATCAATGTGCCAATCTAAAACCACCATCAAATATCATTTTACAAACTTAAAGTTCAAGACAAAAGACAACATGTTTTTACAAAGAAAAAATGACTTACTTCACGAGGACTAACAGAAGAAAGCGATGTTTCTTTACCACTATATAAATTTTTTTTGTGTGGAAGATACAAGGCCTTGATGTCCCGTTGAACATCCTGATAAAAGGCTGCTTCCCAAAACTGCTGATTAGCCCAAACTGGATGTTCTTGGATGCATGTGTATGCAAACTGAATTACACCAGTGCACATTTTCTATTTAAAAAAAAGTGTATTGATTTGGAAATTACACATGTAGAACAAAATTACTGAACTAAAACATTATATTTTTAAACACATAATATTTTTATCAAGACAATTAAAGATTTAATAAAAACTCTTTTGTTTGATCAACATGGATATTATAGTTTATAAAAATACAGTATAACTAGGAATTATTCTATTTAATACCTTCTGAAGCCTTAAACTTTACTATTAATTTTATCTTTAATAGTTTTCACAGTGAAATTTATCAACGAACTTGCACTGACTGACAGTTTACACTACAATTAGATATAATTTTTTTAAGTATGTAAAACCAATGAAAGACAAAGTTTACCCTGCAAAATGCCATAGCTAAAGGAAGAATTGATGCTGCAACTCCATGCTCAACCATACTGGAATCATCCTATTGCAAAAAAAAGATTTAAAACAACAAAGTTAAACTAAACCAAAACACATCTGTAATCTCATACTTGTAACACAACTCATGATAATTCAACTATAATATAATCCTATCAAAACATGTTCATTTAAAAAGCAATGCTAGAACATTCTGACCCAAAGAATTTGAAGTCCATATTTACAAAAAAGCATATTAATCTAACACGAGCTCTGTAACAGGTTTAAGCTTTTAAAAAAATATATATTAAACCATTCTTGTTTAGATTATTTCATCATTTATATGTATGTGACAAAAAAAACAATTTACACAATTTTAAAAGTTTGAGAAAATTTATTCAAAAGGACAGGATCTTAAAGATTATGTCACATATTTAATACTTCTGATATCAGCTATTGTTGAATAACTAGGAGAAATAAATATCATAAAATCCACTCAGCATTATCATTAAATTGGTAATCTTTGTACTGGCTTGAGGTATTCCATAGATCTTACCTGCAGTGCACAATTCATAAGTCTTATAATTAAATCAAACTGTTGGTGTTCCAGAATGGCTTTATTTCCTGTCACATGCTGGGCTAGCTCTTGAGTCAGGGCTAACCTAGAAGTTTTGTTTTTGAGGGCCCTTAAGACTGCAGGCAATGTCTGTAAAATAGGAAGAGTACGAAAGTGTAAAGTAGAAAATTTTCTGAACATCATTTTGAATTACTTGATATACTATGACATTTGTTTTTGTTAAATGAGTGTGCTTATAAAAGGAATAATAAACTAGATATAGTTTAAAAATGACTGGAAAGGTAAGAAATATTTGTTAAGATACACTGTAATTAACTTTCATATGAAACAAGAAACAAACTAACCCTATAACAAATCTAACAGAAAAGATAAAACAGTTACTATTTTTTATGCCAATAATCATAAAATAAATACACTGAATTCCTTTGAAAAATTATTTAAAACAGTAAAAGTTTACAAAATATTGAAAATTTTGAATAATTCTCTATGAATACCTTATATGCACGTATAAGAACTTTTAAATAACTTCAATATATTCATGAAACAAATACAACAGAAGAGGTACTTGAAGAATAATTATTTAAGTAACATAAATTTATGCTCATTGACTCATGTTAATGCTGTATCATCAACAACCATAGTTACCTTACTATTTAAATTTAGATCACGTAAATCATTTATGGATATTATAAAAAAAAATGGGTCCAGTACAGAACCATGTGGAACACCATACTTTATTATATTCACATTTCTAAAGGTTTTCATTTTTATGATGTGTGCTGTTATATATAAATAAGATTTTAATCCATTTTGATGCAATGCCTCTTAGGCCTAGAATTTCCATTTTATCTAATATTTCATGTAATTCTGCATCAAATGCCTTCTCTAAATCCATACAGACACTCAGTAATTATATTTTTTATCTTTATCTAAGAACACAAAGATTTTGTGTGAAGTTCAATAGCACCTCTTCAGTATTTCATCTTTCTATAAATCCATAATAATTTTGAGAAAATTACTATTTTTTTGGTTAACCAGCTGCTGCTTTTTTCCCCTAATACTTTAGAAGATACTGAAAACAATGAAATAGTTCCATATTTTACATAATTATTTTTATCACTTTTTCTACATTGGAATTACTCGGTTTTTTTAGCTAATCTGGAGAAGTTTCTGTTGTAAATGATACATTATAAATATATAACAACTGTTCAGTGATACTATTTATGCACTCATTTACTATTCTTAATGAAATTCTATCAGGCTCTGGTAGTTTCCAATTTTTAGACTCGGTTATAGTTCTCATTTCCTCATTACATGGAGGAAATAAATATTTGGAATTATTGTTTTTCTTCATATTAAATGTTTTACATGGTACATTATCAATTTGTTCTATTTTTTTTTTCTGCTATATTTATAAAGTAGTTATTAAGTTTATTTGCTAAATTTCTAAATACTTTATCATCATTTGCATAATTAAGTAATAGTATTTTTTTATATATCTTTCATATTTCAAAATCAATTTTTATAGTATACCTTTCCTCATTTAAGTTTCTTAATTTATTTTTTGTCATAAGTGGTGAAGTCATAATTTGTTACTAATAACAAAAGGACATCTGATTAAACTGGAAGTGATCTTTTACTAAAATTTTGAGTGAATTTATCTCACAAAAAAACTTTACTTGTGTACTATATAAATTTAATGTTTTGGTAGTCAAAATAGTGGAAACCTAGAAAATATTTCAAAAGGTCAATCACAGTTTAATGGTATAACTAACTTTTCTCGCATCTGAAATCTTGTTTTCAAAAACACAGTTGATACAGTTTCGTATAACCTCTAAACGTCGAGCACTGTTTGTAATAACTGCTTTTCCATCCTGAAGTGAAGAAATTGGGGTGCCCATCGGTACCACTCTTGGCAGTTGTGGGCGGATTGCTTGAAGCCTTAAAATATAAAGCCAAAATTGTACTTTTCTTTTTTTTTACTCTAGAATACCTTAATGCAACAACAGAACAATAGGGTGGCTTGCCTAGACAGGGATGTCACATGAAACCATTATGACAAAGAAATATAAGACAGACATTGTTGGTCTGAAAATACAGAAAAGGTATTAAATAAACCATTGAAACATTATATTGCACACACAAAACTTTCTGGGTAAAAAAAACTTAAAATTCATTATTTTACCTACTAAAGCGTATCAACTAATCAGAGAATACTCCATTTTATATCACATACATCTAACAACATGATTTAGTTAGTAAAACAAATCAGGCACATTTTCACTTTTCATTAAAAGAAAACCCTTAAATACAATTTACGCAGCACTTGTGACAAAAAACATGTCATAAATGAAACATTCATATGCCTTAAAGAAAAATCTTATCAGCTTAGAAACTAAAAATGGATAAAATGCTGCTTCCATCACGAAGTTATCTTTTTTTCTTACTTTCTTGCAGAGTTACACAAGGATTATCTTCACTAGTTATCCATAATTTTAAAGTTATAAACTAGAGGAAAAGGAGCTAGTCAACAGCACCCATCATCAACTTTTGGGCTGTTCTGTATAAGTTAACATTCAAAATGGATTATTACAAATATATTAATATCATTTGAATTTTACAATAAAAATATCCTAGTTAAATCAGTATATAACAAATATCTGCATTTAAAAGCTACAGTACAATGTAATTTAACTGTTATATCATACACTGGAAAAAATACAGTTATCAAAAGTATATCAAGTCTCATGCAGATTGATTAGAAGTATCTATATTTTAAGATCAAACACATTCTGGTTTCATAAAAATTAATATGTGGCAACTGAACTAAGTTCTTTGACAGTGTGCACCACAACATGGCATTCAGTACAATATATGCATTAAAAACTTTTGTTAGTTCCAGTGTGCCTCTTGATTTACTGACAAGTTTAGATGTATGCTTTAAAAATTTAAATATAACGTATATTTTTCACTGCCTTATAATTTTAAAATCATTTCATTTAGAACTTCTAAAACTGTAATTTCATTTTGCAGCATAACATGGCTCCTACATTGCTTATAGTCTATACCAGATACTAAACAATAATAAGTACTTTGCCCTGAGATTATGTTTGGAAAGTCCATCTTGTATGATGTCCTCTACAATTTTCTTGTCCAGTAAGGGAAAAACTGGCTGGTGTATCCTTCGAAAAGCCCCTTCTGTTGGTTTTGGTATTTTCTGAACATATGGCTGAGGATTAGGGATTTCCTATAAAACAACATAAGTATTAACTTATTAATAATAAAAGTCCATTACTAATTATTTACAGGTATACAAAATGACATCCTTAGAATACGAAACACATATCTTTAATTAATGGCTGGATAATTTTAAAAGTCAAGCTTCTACTCATTGTGTTCCTTACCTTAAAACTGTTTGTCGATTATTGAGTTGAGAAAGTAAAAGTTTCAAAATTTTAGATTCAAAAGGTATAATGCTTCTTTTCTATTGAGGTTCATATCACTATTATCTTATACATACTAAAACATAGTGATTCTCAGAGTACAGAAAACTGAGATATACGTTCCTTCTCAAACAGGAACAGATGTGTTAAATGTCATTAGTTTTCAAACTAAGATTATTTCAAGTAAAGTAGAACATCAGTGTAATACTTTGTGCCTGCTATGGTTAATACACTTGAAAATTCATAAAATGGTTTCTCTTCAAAAATGTTTACCTAAATAACATGTGAATAGGCGTAACAGCAAAATAACTACCGAGTATTTTCCTGGAAGTAATAATTGTTTTATACTTGATATATCTATGTACCATAATGATGTGATGTTTAATAGCAGCTATACAAAGATTACAGCTAAATTAAATGGGCAAATGAGGTGTCACTCAAAAGATAAATTTCTGTATATATATATCAATAAAAGTAAACTTTCAATACTTTTCTTGAATTCAGTTGCCTAGCCCACTGTATGCAGTAAATACTTCGAAAACAATTCTTCATAAAACAATTGTCCAAAAAATCAGTTCCTCGAAACATACATTCACAAATATTACCTTTCACTATATAATTAGCACTACAGATTTTACCATACCACACTGGCTGTTTAATGTATTTTAATTCCCTTAATAGTAGAAACACGGACCTTAGGTTACAATGCAGGTTAAGCGATAACACCTGTAATGCCAATGACCTCAACCTCACATCACAGCTGAGCAAGTGATATAGTAATCCCTTGGTGGTGTTCTTTGATGTATTGGTCATAGCGTGACACTTTGAAAACACTGCTCAAATGCAAAAAAAATAATCCCTGACCAAGGCACAGTTTTATTGTAAATAGAAATGAAAATTGTTTTGATGTGTTAGTCTCTGCCATCACTGCTGAAGAGTTTTGGATAATCTGAAATGTCCAGAAAAGTGTGTTTCAAAGTGCCATCGACTGACCATTAGTTACTGTGTATAAACAGTCCTGTGAAGTGGTTGTGCATGGTGCGCTGTGTATGTACTATATCAAGAAATGTATTATAACTTTATTCCAAATTGGTTCCCCCAAAATGTTAAATTTGTTTGAAGAATGAGAAAGACAGACCAAAGTTAGAGTTGAATGGATATTTATTTATTAAAGACAAACAAGTGAAGGGAAATTTTTTGGAAATGTGAGCAATTTGAAAAAAAAATTCAAAGGTCATGTGACAACAATTGGTGATAACATTTGTTGAGCTGGCAATGCCACTGGTATTGAAGATAAAAATGTAATGCACAGCATATGAAATGATTCAAAGAATACATGTGATGCACCTCATTATATTGTCTCACACACATCCTTTTGACTCAACAAAACTGCAGCAGTTGCCATCTATAGACATCATGATAAAAACTATTCAGAATTTATGTGGAAAACAAAATCTAGGGTTAGTTACTCCAAGTTATCAAAGAGATATTATTTTTCCAGAAGACTACAGTAAAAATTGAAGTGGAGAACAGTTTTTAATGTTTGACTCTGGTGCGACAGATGATCAAATATTGATTTTCTGTACAAGAAGAAACCTACAGTTATTGACAAATTGTGATAGTTTGTATCTGATGGAACATTTAAGACCATTCTGGATATTTTTGAACAATTATATATGATCCATGGGATGCAAGAAAACATTGCCATCCCTTTAATTTATTCACTGTTGCAAAATAAAAAGGAACATACATATATTAGACTTCTTAAATAGATAAGGAGTTAGTATCTGCCTTAAATCTTGTGTCTATACTTACAGATTTTGAACTTGCAATGATAAATGCAATTAACATTGAATTTCAATGTGCAGTGAACTGTGGATGTTTATTTCATTTTTCATTAAAATATTATTTTACAGTGAATAATTTGAGTTCATTTTAAGGCTATCATTTATAGCTCTAACATGTTTTAAGGTAAGTATTTATGCACTAAGCACCTAATAATTTCATTATTGTAAATTTTCTGGCATGAGACATCCATAAGATAGGCTTACCATCACACACACTTCATAATTCCATAATGTTGAAAGTCACAACTTACATTCTGCAAAAGTTGTTGAGCATGGTTCTGGATATGTTTTAACACTAAGTCTGGATCTTTGGATTCTAACTTTAACAGATCCTGTATACTTGCAAACAACTATTGCAAAAAAAAAAAAAAAATAATCGACATATTCCATTTCCACAATTTTGATACACATATCAAACTTGAGAACTAAATATTGTATTAAAGAAACACAAATGGTTATCATTTACCTACTCTGAAAATGTATTTCTAAACATACTTACCTCCGCTGACACTAATAGCTATTTCTCGATCTTTATCTTAGCCATCTGGCATTGTGTTCGCTTGCTCCAGTCTTTATATACCCCAATCAACTGCCCTCGGCAATATCTAATTTGCAAAACTTTATGCCGGTCCTCACACGCCCTCTACGCAGGTACTGTATATAAGCACTGTATACAGACAATAAAATCACTTTTTTTTTAGACCAACCATATTCTGGTCACTAACATTGGCTCTTAGTGAGGAGGAAGGGAGGGAGAGTGTCAGCGGAGGTAAGTATGTTTGGAAATACATTTTCAGTTTAGGAAAATGATTATGCTGTTCATACAGGTATGTAATCATTATAGAGG